AGCAAAGGTGAGTGGAATGGAATCGGTCTCTGTGTTGCCTTAGGAATTGGCAAGTTAATTTTCATTGCAAATGTTCTTGAAACAGAAGAGCTGTTGCTTATATGTTCCGCTGACTAAATGAACAGCCTATGGCAATTCAACAAATATAAGAAGTAAATTTAATTGTTCATTATAGACTCCACCAAGTCATTCTTAGACATTTGGTTCTACTGCAATACATTCATTATCCCTGCTTATGCAAATATGGGAAATACTTAAATATGCATGTATAGTGGTAGTAAAATATGACCTTCAGTAATGGAACAAGAGAATATGCGTAAGTGTAAAAATAGTAGACCATATACATCCATGCTCTCTTTATGGTCCTTATTGTTTGTGAAATTAGACAGTATTTATTCTGTATGCATAAAGCTCATTGTCATAATTTATAGTTCCTAAATGGTCATTTTCTCCCTTCAGAGTTTCTAAAATGTTTAAAATATGTACGGACTTTTAAGAATGCTATATTGAAGATCACAACAGGGGAGTTGCATTGTGTGAATATTGTGTCAGTGCAGTTCTATTCGGACACTGGGTTCCATCCTTCTATGCTCGCATAGGATCTTGAATGGACTCTTGTGTGAATGCTGTTGGGGTCCTGCTCAGACGCTCTTTACCTGGCTGCTGCTCCAGTCCTTACCCTATATGTTAGGAATATGGGCTGCCAGGTGCACAGTCTTTCCTTTCTTCAGAGATTTGCCGTCAGCTGAGAGGGATCTGCTTTGCCAGGGGTTCTCAGGAACAGAGTGTGGGCAACTCTTAGCCAGTGACAGACTAATGGGAGAGGCAAAAGGCTGCCAACGCCAATGCAAGACTAAATCTGATGCAATTCATGCTCCAGAGCTGTGCTGTCCAAGACTGGAGAACGTAGTCATAGGAAGTCATTTAAATTTAAATTAATTAAAATTAAATAGAATACAAAATTCCATTTCTAGGTGAGGGCATTTAAATGCTCGTGTAGTGACATGTGGATAGTGGCTATTGCATTAGGCAGCGAGGGCTGAGTATTTCTCTCAGCACAGAGGCATACTTGTATGGGAGACTTGTGTCCACTTTCTTACAGCCTCATTCCGTATTCCATTTAAGACCACGTCTTTCCTTATCCATGTTCTCTGCTCTGTTTTGCTTCCCTCATCCCCTTTATCCTGAGAGCATTCCCTGAACAAACCATGTGCAGTGGAAATCCTACTTGATCCTTTTCTCCCATGGAACCTGGTGGAAACACCGTCCATGTTCATGCGACCTGTCATTTCCAGTGTTGCGAAAGCTGCCTTCCCCCTCACTAGATTATCCTGCATTGCCCTTGGGGGCCTGTTCGAGTATATGTGGGGTCAGCTTAGAGCTAGGGGACAGAGCTTTATTAAAGTAATAGTGATTCTTTCCTACCACTGCCAACACTACTTCAGGATTCTTTCAGGAACTGGATAGGGCAGAGTTTGTATGCCAATTATGTTGGTGACTGTTATATATTTGAAATATCTTCAATACAAACATTTTGTATGTATTGTAAGTACGCAATTTGCATACTGAGCAACTAGTTTTGTGGTACTATGTTTTTTTCCACTTAAACTTTTAGGGTTGTATTTCAGTATTGAACCTTTATGGTAATTGCTCTGTCAACTTATGTGTCCTGGTACTAAACATTTAGTCTGTTTCCTTTGATGCCCGTTGTCTTCATTAATTGTAGAATTGTGTTCTTGTGAGATGTCATTTCCTATTATATTCTTTTTTTGATGGCACTTATTATATAGAATGCCATTTTTTTTTTGTTTTGTAGCATCTATTTACTGATATTTTACTTAATAACATTTTTCTCTCTGTATGTAAAACCTTTTTTCAAAGTATTTATTGTTTTGAAAAGAAAGTAATAATTTATGTATTTTTCCTCTGCTGTATCATATCATGATGGTTGTTAAGGACAGCATTCTGTGCTCCTAACCTAAGATGGATGTGTTTACTATTCCCAGCTAGAACTATTTACATAGTCTGTCTAAGGGGAATCAATCTCTCTTACCGCATTCAGTCATTTGATACCTACCTATATATAGGTGATGTCTTTTAGTCTATGATGCAATTCTTTAAATTTGGAAGGGGAGGTGAACCATGAGAGACTATGGACTCTGAAAAACAATCTGAGGGTTTTGAAGGGGCGGGGGGTGGGAGGATGGGGGAACCAGGTGGTGGGTATTGGAGAGGGCACGGATTGCATGGAGCACTGGGTGTGGTGCAAAAACAATGAATACTGTTACGCTGAAAATAAATTTAAAAAATTAAAAAAAATAATGAAAATAAAAACAAAATTTGGTTAGGAGGAAATAAAATGAAATGTCTCATGAACCTCAGTCCAAACATACCTTCCTCTTAAAAGAGTGTGGTCTGTAGTGGTGCACACAGATTGAAGGGGGATGCATGCCCAGAATGGGAGGAAGGAAACAAAGTGACCCATATTAGCAGAACATACTCTTGAGAATCGATGGCAGGATGCAACTGCGTCATGACTTTCGTGTCCAGTGTTACCAAAGGATAATAATTTTCCTGAATGTAATGAAAAAAATAAAAGTAAGATGGTAGACTATGACATGAGTATTGTAGTTCCCCCCCAGTGTGCTCTCCAGCAAGGCAGTGGAAGCAATAGTAACATAGAGAGATAATCACATTCTTTTTTTCTGTTTTGGTGGGCTTATCTTTTACCTGTTATTTTATTTTTCTGCCTAAAATCATGTTCATTATTATCCCTGTTAGATAGGTAGTCATTCAGCATTCTTTTAGATATATGTAGATATATACACACATACACATACATAATCCTGTAAAGCAGAATATCATTTGTACAAGTTCATCTCACCAGGGTTTTATCTTTCTCAGCTGCCTTCTTTGTCCTTCTGGGTAGTCCTTCTGGATAGGACCAGCATTATTTATTTCAATGGTCCATTATTTTATTGGTGCGTTCCTTGGATGATTAACATTTTACTTTTGTCCTCCTTACTTTGATGAGCAATTCCTTTACCAGACACCTTTAATATAGCTGCAATTTATTTCAGATAATTTATCTGTATTTCTGCACGTGTGCGTGAGGCTGGATCGTGCTTTGTTTTATCTGCTCTTCTGAGTGGGTGTGAGTCAGGGCGCATTCCCTGTTGTTGCACATTTATACAGCCTCAGATACCTTTATAACTAATTCTATCAGGAAATATTTGTGCACCAAGTTTTTTTCTTGTGGACACCACTAATCAATCTTACGGGAAATCAAAACAGAGTGAAAACCCACATCCTTTATTCAGATTGTATGACCCTTTGTTTTATTTCAGTTTTGTGTCAATTTCTTTCACACATCAGTGGATCTACTCTGATTCAGATCTTAAAAGTCTTAGAGGATAGGCGCTGGGGTGGGGTAGAGAGGCTCATTGGTTAAGGGTCTGCCTTCGGCTTAGGTCATGATCCCAGGGTGCTGAGATGGAGCCCCGCCTCAGGCTCTCTGCTCAGTGGGGCATCTTCTAACCCTCCCCCTATGCATGACCACTCTAGTTCTCTCTCACGGGCTCTCCCTCTCTCTCAAATAAATAAATAAAATCTTTTAAAAAGTCTTAGAAGAATTAAAATGTACTGTATGTCTATTTGAACATGATAGAACTGAAATACTCATTCTCTGATGTCTGGTTGGTTGGGATAGAACTATGCTTCTTCAGTACTGAGCAGCTAGATGACAATAGCCTTTAAACCCATGTGAGAGCTGGTCATGTGTCTGATCTAGTGTGACTGACTCTGCAAAATAGCTCCAGGAAGGTGATACTTAGCTTAAATCTACAGATATCTGAGATTTTGTATAATATGAAAATAACCTTTTCATTATCCTTGTAGTACTTCAACGTTTCCATTATAGTGTTTTGACATGTCTTTGCTTCGAGAATGTACCTGTCTATATCTCTATGTTTATTTATGTAATTATTTCTTCATAGGGAGTGATGTAAAAGCATTATACTTTGTACCTAGATTACACAACTGGATAACTTTTTAAAACGTTTAATCTGATTAGAATGTTATTGTGACTACTCCTGCCTTTCTCAGGAGTTTCAGCTGCTCTGGTGGCTAATGTGTGAAACAGAAATCTGCAGAAGAAAGAGGAAAGTTTGATTACTGGACTTTAGGGTTCTGATGTCAATGGATATGCAGGGCCAATGAATATTTGGAGCTCCTCTTAAACCGGTATAGTAATTTTAAGCATCTTTAGGGAAAAGGTAAGCACTGTATTTGGATGGTGATATTTTTGGTTCTCTGTGATTGAGTATATATTTTTTTGCTACCATACAGGGAAAAAAAAACAGTGCAACTTTCATCAATATATTAAAGAGTCAATTCTGCCATAATGTTTATAAGCAGGATTAGTAGTAGTATTTTGCATGTAATTGGATTTTTTGTGTAAGTACGTTCTTGGTCTTCAATTCCTGTATCTGAATGCATTTTTGAGATTATATTGTATTATATTCTATGGCATGTGTGGTGTGTGCAAATCTTACTGTGTAGAATCATGAGAACATATTTACAATAACATTTCTCCCTCTGTCTGATTCTCCTTTTGATTGTTTCTGATTGCTCTCCCTCTTTTCCCCTCATCCCCATTCTTTCTAAAATGTATGTATATACTTATAGTACTTTAAGTCTTACTAGGCTCAGTTTGAGAGACCTTTCATACCTATGACTGATGCAAACACATAGGCCATTATTTCATTTTTCTTTTACCAAATATTAATGCTATACTTTTTGTCATAATGTGGAACTATATTGGCATAACTTATATCAATTCTAAAGAGCACATCATTGATTCACATAGTTATTGATAAAATCCTATGCCCTGTCTTTAACATGAGAGATACATGCCCTTCCCCAGTCAACTATTTTTTTTAAAGATTTCTTTTAAAATTGCTAAATGCTTGGTCCTGACAGGAAACATGTGCTAACAGAGGATGGAACAGAAAAATGGCAGTTCTTTCACAGGGTTTATCCTGCTGGGGTTCTCTGACCGGCCTCAACTGGAGCTAGTCCTATTTGTGGTCCTCCTGATCTTCTACCTGTTCACTCTGCTGGGAAACACCACCATCATTGCCTTGCCCCACCTCAACCCACATCTTCAGACTCCCATGTACTTTCTCCTCTCCAACCTAAGCTTCCTGGACCTGTGTTACACGACCAGCACTGTCCCTCAGCTCCTGGTTCATCTCAGGACAGCAGACAAGTCTTTCTCGTTTGGTGGCTGTGTAGTTCAGCTCTTTGTTGCTCTAGGGCTGGGATGCACGGAATGCATTCTGTTAGGCGTCATGGCGTTTGACCGCTATGCAGCCATCTGCAAGCCCCTGCAATACACTGTGATCATGCACCCCCGTCTCTGTGCCCTCATGGCTTCTGCATCGTGGTTTATTGGTTTTGCCAACTCCTCATTGCAAACAACGCTCATCTTCATTGTACCACTTTGTGGGAGAAATAAAATAGACCACTTCCTTTGTGAGATCCCACCATTACTCAAGCTTGCCTGTGTTGACACCACTGTGTATGAGTCAGAGATGTTCTTTGCCAGTGTGGTCTTTCTCCTCATACCTGTGACGTTAATCATGTTCTCCTATGGTCAGATCATCAGAGCGGTCTTAAGAATAAAGTCATCTGCAGGGCAGAGGAAAGCATTTGGCACATGTGGGTCCCACATCACAGTGGTCTCCCTGTTCTATGGCACGGCCATCTATGCTTACCTTCAGCCCAGCAACAACTACTCCCAGGATCAGGGCAAGTTCATTTCTCTGTTCTACACCATCGTCACCCCCATGGTCAACCCTGTCATATATACACTGAGGAACAAGGATGTGACGGGGGCAATAAAGAAGGTGCTTTGCAGGGCCATGCCTTCAGGTGATTGGGTGGGGAAGCCCTTTTGAAGGAAGACTATGGCTGCCAGAGATTTTTTTTTTATTGATTTTCAGTGTAACAGTATTCATTGTTTTTGCACCACATCCAGAGCTCCATGCAATCAGTGACCTCTCCAATACCCACCACCTGGCTCCCCTAACCTCCCACCCCCCGCCCCTTCAAAACTCTCAGGTTGTTTTTCAGAGTCCATAGTGTCTCATGGTTCATCTCCCCCCTCCAATTTCCCTCAACTCCCTTCTCCTCTCCATCTCCCCATATCTTCCATGTTATTTGTTATGCTCCACAAATAAGTGAAACCATATGATAATTGACTCTCTCTGCTTGACTTATTTCACTCAGCATCATGTCTTCCAGTCCCATCCATGTTGCTACAAAAGTTGGGTATTCATCCTTTCTGATGGAGGCATAATACTCCATAGTGTATATAGACCACATCTTCCTTATCCATTTGTCCGTTGAAGGGCATCTTGGTTCTTTACACAATTTGGCGACTGTAGCCATTGTTACTATAAACATTGGGGTACAGATGGCCCTTCTTTTCACTACATCTGTATCTTTGGAGTAAATACCCAGTAGTGCAATTGCAGAGTCATAGGGAAGCTCTCTTTTTAATTTCTTGAGGAACAATGTGTGTTGGAGAGGATGTGGAGAAAGGGGAACCAGAATGCAAGTTGGTGCAGCAACACTTTGGAGAACAGTGTTGGCTCCCAGAGATTTTTAAGAAGCCTCTGTCCTCCCCATGTCATCCAAAATTTCCTGTGACATCTCTCAAGGGAATTTCCTTACCTAATGCTTTAATGCAAGTGAGTGCTCAAAATCCAAGTTCATGGGTTCATGAAGCCTCCAGAGTTGCTCCTAGAGAGTCTGCATCATATTTCATTTTAAAAAGCTCCACAGGTTTTTCATATTTCCCCCTCACTTGGGAACACTATTCATTCCTTTGTGCAAGAAGACATGCACATACCATTAAGTCATAGGGAAAATAAGAATACAAATGACTCGGGCGCCTGGGTGGCTCAGTGGGTTAAGCCGCTGCCTTCGGCTCAGGTCATGATCTCAGTTTCCTGGGATCGAGTCCCGCATCGGGCTCTCTGCTCAGCAGGGTGCCTGCTTCCCTCTCTCTCTCTCTCTCTGCCTGCCTCTCTGTCTACTTGTGATCTCTCTCTGTCAAATAAATAAATAAAATCTAAAAAAAAAAAAAGAATACGGATGACTCAGTAGGAAATATTAAAATTTTAACATTTTTCCAGCAAATTGTTGGCGCATATCACTGTTTCTTGCATTGTGATCATGGTTCTATTATAAGGTCCTTAGGTTGCCTGTATCACAGCTTTTTCACAGAAGTAGGTAGGCATCTGTGAGAAAAAGAAATCCTTAGCTCAAAGAAAATCCTGCTAACATCAATCCTGATGAAGTACATTTAAATCTTCTCTTCATACCATTTAATAATTTCTTTGATCCAGGCATCAACTGATCAATGCTTTTGTATCTCAAACCTGCCAAAAGCCCCATATAGTTTGAATGCAGGGACATATTCTAAAAATCTGGGAAATGACCTCTCATTCCCAGGAAATCCCATATTCTCTGGAGCTTACCAGATTCACTAGGAGGAAATGTAAAGAAGAAATAAAATATATATTAATCATTAAACATGTCCATGTGTCTAAGCTTTAAAAATAGCCATCTGAGTTTGAACTACTGTCATACATTTCTGAATTAGGAGTAATGAGTGTCAACATCCCAGAACAGTTGAATCTGACACTGTAAGCCCTTAGATCTTAACTCAAACTTAGTTTGCACATAAATGTGTTTGTGGTATGGATCTGGGTTTTTGTATATATGTATTATCACAAACAGGATATTTTCCCCTGGAGATTGGAGCTTTGATAATGACATGATCACAGAAATATTTCTGATTTTGGTAAGTTTTCCCAACATGTAGCCCAGTGCAGGTAGATGTGTTTGTGTCTTGGGCTGGGCACATACACATAACAACTCTACTGTTCCCTATCCTGACAGCTAACTGGCATCCCTAGGCCTTGAACCCCTGAGCTGGCCATGCTCACGCCAAGTGATCTTGCTTCAGAGACAGCATTTGGAGACTGGAAATGACACCCAGGGGAGGTAATGCACACGGTCAGGTTCTCTCTGTATCACTAAGAGCATCACAGTATTCTTACTTGAAATCAATACCTGGCATGTATCTTGTCACCAAGCAAGTAGAAAACTAGTTCTGTAGACTGTTTATCCTTGAATGTGACAAATTTCCCACTCGCCATTATTTTCCTTTTTTTGTCTTAAAGATTTTGTTATTTTATTATTTATTTATTTGAGAGAGAGACTGGGTGGAGGACAGGCAGATGGGTTTGGAGCAAGACAGGCAGACTCTGCCCTGAACATGGAGCCTGATGGGGTCTCCATCTTGTGACATGGAGAACATGAGCTGAGCTGAAATCAAGAACCTCCAAGGCACCCCCTACTGTCTGTTTTAGCCACATCCTGACAGTTATGTACAAATGGTCACTTTAAAATCCCTCAAGTGAACACTCTTTGGCACAAAAACTCTCAAGGTTTCAGGAAACCACACAGCCTGTTTTTCCAGGTGAACAACTTCTCTGTTCTTAAGGACACAGAGAGCCCTGGGGTGAAGCAGATTCATTTCCTTTAAGTGAATGTTTGAATGGCATATGGGTGTCTATGACTCATGGGACTAAATGACAGATAACAAAGGTCTCTGAGATCCTCGCCAAAATAAAAGAGAAATCACTGAAGAGACAAAACACAAGTTCAGGATTGTTCTGTAACATTTTTCTAATGTTAGGAATCTGCTCCCCAAGCACTCCATGCCCTGTCTGTAGCAGAGTCCAGGGCTGTGTTAATTGTCACCAATATTATTTGGACTCTTTTGCATTTTTGCCAATAACTGTGGAATGGCTACAGGGATTGTACCTAAGACTTGGCTAAATTATTTATTCCATCTGTGTTTAGCCCCTGGAGGTCAGGACAATCATGATGCTCTAGAGCAAGTCATGGGTTCTTCCAGCTCTTCTGCTTCCTGAGGAACCCAGGATGCACACCGTCGGCCCAGGTAGTGATGGCAGAGACCCAGAATGTCAGTCAGACTCACATGAAGCACAGTTCTTTACCAGCAGCAGATTTACTACCAATTAGCAGAGGATACAAAATGCTGAGAGCCCTTTCAATATCCAGGAGGCCCCAGACCCATCAGACACATCTTCGGAGACCCCCTCACTGCAGTGGAAAGCCTTTTTCTTCTCAAATGTGGGGCAGAACTATTATGGTACAAGTCAGCACAGAGAGGCTTGGGGGATTCTCAGATTATGTGTCCCTACCTTCATAACCCTGCCCTGACTTTAGGACTGTCATTTGGTAACATATCTGCAGTGTGTAGGGTTCCTGTGGTCTAAACAGACCCTCTGCATTCTGCTGAAATTACTATGTCAGTAATCAGAGAACAGCCACCCCTGTAAGGCCTTCATGTATCTCTAGTCTGCATTTTGTGGTTACTGTTCGCCAGAGTTCTGCTCTGACCAGGCTTACTCAGGAGGGAGGAACAGGTTATAGATCCCTGCGAACCCTTTCTTTTGCAGGTAACTTCTTTTTGAATGCTTGTTTTGTAATATAAGTGAGATCTTCTTTCATCATTACGATATTGTAGCACATTTCACATCTGGTCTTGCAGACTCTGGGAACCACTGTGTATGGAAATGTAGTTTGCTGGGAAGATGGGCTCTGTGTAAATGCAGAAATGAGAGGATGAATGACTGCTGATCAGAGGGGTCGGGGATAGGTTCCCTGAGATGGTCTAGGGACAGGATACTTGCTAGAAGAAGAGAGAGTTGAGTCAAGCTTCTTCTAGCAAGTGTCCCTTCTAGGGACAGGACATTTCCTTCTTCCCCCCAGGGTTCTTCCAGCTGTTTTGGAATTAAACTGATAAGAGCAGAGTTTTGTTTTTCTATTCTATTCTATTCTATTTATTTATTTTCATGTGGTACTTTTTAAAATTTTATTTCATTTTTTCAGTGTTCCAAGATTCCTTGTTTATGCACCTCACTCAGTGCTCCATGCAATACATGCCCTCCTTAATACCCACCACCAGTCTCACCTAAACCCCCACCCCCTTCCCTCCCAAACCCTCAGCTTGTTTCTCAGAGTCCACAGTCTCTCATGCTTTGTCTCCCCCTCCGATTTGCCCCAATTCACTTTTCATTTCCTTCTCCCAATGTCCTCCATGTTATTCCTTATGCTCCACAAGTGAGTGAAACCATATGATGATTGACTTTCTCTGCCTGACTTATTTCACTCAGCATAATCTCTTCCAGTCCCATCCATGTTGATACAAAAGTTGGGTATTCATCCTTTCTGATGGAGGCGTAATACTCCATTGTATATATGGACTATATGTTCTTTATCCACTCATCTGTTGAAAGGCATCTTGGCTCTTTCCACAGTTCGGCAACTGTGGCCATTGTTGTTATGAACACTGGGGTACAGATGGCCTTTGTCTTCACTGAATCTGTGTCTTTGGGGGTAAATACCCAGTAGTGCAAGGTCACAGGTTGCTCTATTTTTAATTTTTTGAGGAATCTCCACACTGTTAACAAGAGGAAAAAATCTGAACGTTGATTACTTGCACATAGAGGCTCAATAATGAAATTGAGACCCAAAGAAATAACCAAGGGAGACCGTTTGTATATCTTTTATACAGAGACAAGAAGTGTGTGAGGAATTGAGAGGATGAAGAAAACACACGTTTGGGAACTTTAGTTAGGAAGGAATTCTAACGGAATTTGGGCTGAGGTTGTAGATTCCTTAAAAAGTAGCCAGGTTTATTTCTACAGCTTTCTCAACTCTCTGGTTCCTACCTGTGGTGTTAGGATGTCTTTTACTTCTTATTCTTGGGAGGGTACATGATTCAGGGAAATTCATTTCTTCCTTTCACAGGGATAGAGGAGGGTGTGATATCCTTGCACCTGCTGTTTCCTGAGTAGCTTCAAAATAATCACTATGCCATTTGAGGCCCATTTTGGGATCTGCCCTGGGCCTCTACACTTGATCCTTTTAAAAAATTTAATTTCGCTGGGCAGAGGGGGGTTGGGGGGGGTTATGGACATTGGGTAGGGTATGTGCTATGGTGAGTGCTGTGAAGTTTGTAAACGTGGAGATTCACAGACCTGTACCCCTGGGGGGGAAAAAATATATATATATGTTTATAAAAAATAAAATTATAAAAAAAAAATTTAATTTCGTTGATTTACATAGATGGGTGGGTTTATTTTAACCATTCTGACCTGATAGAAATCTGGGGTCTTTAAGAAGAGTAAGTTCTTCTTATTAGGCAACCACTCTGAAGCCAGTTTTTTTTTTTTTCTGATCCAAGCCCACTTTTATTTTTATTTATTTATTTTTATTTAATTTATTTTCAGTGTAACAGAATTCATTGTTTATCCACCACACCCAGTGCTCCATGCAATAGATGCCCTCCATAATACCCACCACCTGGCTCCCCCAACCTCCCACCCCTGCCCCTTCAAAACCCTCAGATTGTTTTTCAGAGTCCACAGTCTCTCATGGTTCATCTCCCCCTCCAATTTCCCTCAACTCACTTCTCCTCTCCATCTCCCCATGTCCTCCATGTTATTTGTTATGCTCCACAAATAAGTGAAACCATATGATAATTGACTCTCTGCTTATTTCACTCAGCATAATCTCTTCCAGTCCCATTCACGTTGCTACAAAAGTTGGGTATTCATTCTTTCTGATGGAGGCATAATACTCCATAGTGTATATGGACCACATCTTTCTTATCCATTCGTCCGCTGAAGGGCATCTTGGTGCTTTCCACAGTTTGGCGACCGTGGCCATTGCTGCTATGAACATTGGGGTACAAATGGCCCTTCTTTTCAGTACATCTGAATCTTTGGAGTAAATACCCAGTAATGCAATTTCAGGGTCATAGGGAAGCTCTATTTTTAATTTCTTTTTTTAAAAAAGATTTTATTTATTTATTTGTCAGAGAGAGAGAGAGAGAATTGGAGAACAGAAGCAGTCAGAGTGGCAGGCAGAGGCAGAGAGAGAAGCAGGCTCCCCGCTGAGCAAGGAACCCAATGTGGGATTCGATCCCAGGACCCTGGGATCATGACCTGAGCCGAAGGAAGTGGCTTAACCAACTGAGCCACCCAGGCGTCCCTCTATTTTTAATTTCTTAAGGAATCTCCACACTGTTCTCTAAATTGGCTGCACCAGCTTGGATTCCCATTAACAGTGTAAGAGGGTTCCCCTTTCTCCACATCCTCTCCAATGCACATTATTTCCTGTGTTGCTAATTTTGGCCATTCTAACTGGTGTAAGGTGGTATCTCAAAGTCAACACACACAAAACTGATAATCATGGCAAAATATGGGCAGAAGGCATGAACAGACACTTCTCCAATGAAGACATACAAATGGCTATCAGGCACATGAAAAAATGTTCATCATCACTAGCCATCAGGGAGATTCTGAAGCCAATTTTAACCTCTTTTGAGAACGAAGTTGTTCATTTGTTGTACCTGTGTCTTTAGTCTCATTGAAGCATTCTCAGAACAGCAATGAAAGCCTAAACCCTTCAGGAGAAGAGAATTAATAAAGATTAGAGCAGAAAACAATGAAATAGAAACCAAAAGAATGGTAGAACAGGTCAAGGAAACTAGCAGCTGGTTCTTTGAAAGAATGAATAAGATTGATAACCGCCCTCCGCTCCGCACCTGCCAGATTTTTCCAAAAGACAAGAGAAAGGACCCAAATAAGCAAAATCATGAGTGTGGGGGGGGGAATCACAACCAATACTGAAGAAATAAAAGCAATTATAAGAACATATTATGAGCAACTATACGCCAGCAAATTAGGATATCTGGAGGGAATGGATGCATTCTGAACGACTTATAGACTGCCAAAACTGAACCAGGAGGAAATAGAAAACCTGAACAGACACACAACCAGCAAGGAAATTGAAGCCGGAATCAAAAACTTCTCCCAAAACAAAAGTGCACAGCCAGATGGCTTTCCAGGGGATTTCTACCGAACATTTAAAGAAGAATTAATACCTATTCTTCTGAAGCTATTTCAAAAAATCAAAATAGAAGGAAAACTTCTAAACCCTTTGTGAGACTAGACTATCTTGGTCCCAAAGCCAGACAAAGATCCTAAAAAAGCAGAATAACAGACCAATATTCCTGGTGAACAGAGATGCAAAAATTCTCATCAAAATAGTAGCCAGTAGGATCCAACAGTACATTCAAAGGATTATTTACCATGACCATGTGGGATTTATTCCTGTGCTGCAAGGTTGGTTCAACACCTGCAAAACATTCAAAGTGTACATTACATAAATAAAAGAAAGGACAAGAGCCATATGATCCATTCAATAGATGCAGAAAAAGCATTTGATGAAGTATAGCATCGTTTCTTGATTTAAACTCTTTAGAGTGGACGGATAGATGGAACATACCCCAATATCATAAAAGTCATCTCTGAAAACCCCACATTGAGTGTCATTCTCAATGGGGACAAACTGTAAGCTTTTCTCCTAAGATCAGGGAAAGTGGCAGGGATGTCCACTATTGCCACAGCTGTTTAACGTATTACTAGAAATCCTAGCCCTAGCAATCAGACAACAAAAAGTAATAAAAGGCATTCTAGTTGACAAAGAAGAAGTCAAGCTCTCATTCTTCACAGATGACATGATACTCTATGTGGAAAACCCAAAAGACTCTGCCTCCAAATTGCTAGAACTCATACAGGAATTCAATAAAGTGGCAGGATATAAAATCAATGCACAGAAACCAGTTACATTGCTATACACCAACAACAAGACAGAAGAAAGAGAAATTAAGTAATTAACTCCATTTGCAAATGCATCCAAAACCATAAGATACCTAGGAATAAATCTAGCCAAAGAGGCAAAGAATCTGTACTCAGGAAACTATGAAGTACTCATGAAAGAATTTGAGGAAGACACAAAGAAATGGAAGAACGTTCCATACTCATGGATTGGAAGAACAAATATTGTGAAAATGTCTATACTACCTAAAGTAATCTATACATTTAATGCAGTTCCTGTCAAAATATCATCAACTTTCTTCACAGAACTGAAACAAATAATCCTAAAATTTGTATGGAATCAGAAAAGATCCTGAACAGCCCGAGGAATGTTGAAAAAGAAAACAAAGCTGGAGGCATCACAATTCTGGACTTCAAGCTCTATTACCAAGCTGTAATCATGAAGACAGTATGGTGCTCCACAAAAACAGACACACAGATCAATGGAACAGAATAGAGAGCCCGGAAATGGACCCTCAACTCTATGGCCAACTAATCTTCCCTAAAGCAGGAAAGAATGTCCAATGGAAGAAAGACAGTCTTTTCAACAAATGGTGTTGGGAAAATTGGACAGCCACCTGCAGAAGAATGAAACTGAACCATTGTCTTACAGCATACACAAGGATAAACTCAAAATGGATGAAAGACCTAAACGTGAGGCAGGAATCCATTAAAATGCTGGAAGAGAACACAGGCAACAATCTCTGCAGCTGCAGCAACACCTTGTTAGACACATCTCCATAGGTAAGGGAAACAAAGACAAAAATGAAGCATTTGGACTCCATTAAAATAAAAAGCTTTTGCCCAGCAGAGGAAACAGTTGACAAAACCAAAAGAGATTGACAGAATGGGATAAGTTATGCACAAATGACATATCAGATAAAGGGCTAGTATCCAAAATCTATAAAGAACTTATCAAAGTGAACACCCAAAGAACAAATGATCCAGTCGAGACATGGGCAGAACACATGAACAGACATTTCTGCAAAGAAGACATCTAAATGGCCAACAGACACATGAAAAAATGTTGAACATCACTCGGCATCAGGGAAATACAAATCAAAACCACAATGAGATACCACCTCTCACCAGTTACAATGGCTAAAATTAACAAGTAAGAAAATGATAGGTGTTGGCAAGGATGTAGAGAACGGGGAACCCTCCTACCCTGTTGGTGGAAATGCAAGCTGGTGCAGCCACTCTGGAAAACAGTATGGAGGTTCCTCAAAAAGTTAAAAATAGAGCTACTCTATGACCCAGCAATCACACTACTGGGTATTTACCCCAAAGATACAAATATAATGATCTAAAGTGGTACATGCACCCCCAATGCTCATAGCAGTCATGTTCACAATAGCCAAACTATGGACAGAGCCCAGATGTCCAGTGACAGATGAATGGATAATGAAGAGGTGATAACAATGGAATACTATGCAGCCATCAAAGAATGAAATCTTGCCATTTGCAATGACATGGATGGAACTAGAGGGTATTAGCCTAAGTGAAATAAGTCATTCAGAGAAAGACAATTATCATATGATGTCCTGGATATGTGGAATTTAAGAAACAAAACCAAGGATCACAGGGGAAGAGAGGAAAAAATGAAACAAGTCAAAACCAGAGAGGGAGAAAAAGCATAGGAGACTCTTAATCACATGAAGCATGAGGACTTAATCACATGAAGCAAACTGAGGGGACAGGGGTGGAGGGAAAGGGTAACTGGGTGATGGTCATTGGGGAGGGGATGTGTTGTAATGAGCACTGGGTTTTGTATAGGATTGATGGATCACAGACCTGTACTCCTGAAACAAGTAATACATTATAGATAACTAATTGAATTTATTTATTATTTATTTATTTATTTTTTAAGATTTTACCTATTTATTTGATGGAGAGAGATCACAAGTAGGCAGAAGGCAGGCAGAGATAGAAGGGAAGCAAGTTCCCCACTGAGCAGAGAGCCTGGTATGGGGCTTGATCCCAGGACCCTGGGATCATAACCTGAGCCAAAAACAGAAGCTTAACCCGCTGAGCTACCCAGGTGCCCCTAACTAACTGAATTTAAATAAAAAGTTAAAGAAAGAATTTTTTAAAAAAGATTTTATTTATTTATTTGACAGACAGAGACCACAAGTAGGCAGAGAGGAAGGCAGAGAAAGAGGAGGAAGCAGGCTCCCCGCTGAGCAGAGAGCCTGATGCGGGACTCGATCCCAGGATCCAGAGATCATGACCTGAGCTGAAGGCAGAGGCCCAACCCACTGAGCGACCCAGGCGCCGCTTAAAGAAAGAATTTTTAAAAATAACCTCATAGAAGTTTGGTAGAGTTTGGTTGCTTTCCTTTATATTCAGCTTCAAGATTAAACTATGCCTAGTTATTAGCTCTGTGATCCCGTGTATAGTAGTTATGAAGGAGAATAAGTGACAAAAAAAATCCACATATTTACATTTATTTATTTATTTTTGAAGATTAAATTATTTATTTTAGAGTCAGAAAGAGAGTGCATGAAGAGGGGGAGGTGAAGAAGGAGGTAGAGAAGGAAGTGGACTCCCTGCTGGGCAGGGAGCTCTATGCCTAAGCTGGGCTCCACCCCTCAACCTGAGATGATGATTATATTAAAATTAAATAAAAAATTTATTCACAGATTTACATTTAAAATTAAGTAAGTGAATGGACTCCTATATTTATATGTAAATGTTTTGGGCAATTGTGCAAAAAAAAAGTCTTAAATGTTTTGTAAAACATGTCGCTTATTCATAGAGAAATATAAGTCATAACAAAAGAGATAAACAAGGTCTCCTCTGGCTTTGTCCTTGATCATCGTTCTCCCTGAGGACGGCCATCTCTGGACAGCTCAGTGACAGGGGCTCATTAACAGTGTGGGGCATCTGCTCCCCAGAGTCGTCAGCCAGGGAAACGCATTTGGTTCTCAGTGCCAGCCCATCACAGCTGAGTGTCACAGCACCGTCTCCTGTGCTCATAAGGGTCTCCCTGTCATACAGCCAGGTCACTGCTTTCGGGAAACCAAGGTGGAGTTTGCAATTGCCTTCATCTCCTACCTCCTTGAGGCAAAGGGCAGATCTCTGTCCACCTAAAGATACATGAAGTTATCATGAGAAAACATCCTTCTGCCTAGGAAAAATTTATGGATAAGCCAGTGCTGGTGTAGTCAACCTTTGCATTTACTTCACGCGACCGATTCTGCATGTCCAAGTGTCAATCCTTGATACTGTCTTTAGGCAGTGACTTGGAAAGGAGGTAGGGAAATAGCTTTGAACCTACAGAGAGGGTGAACAGAGGTGAGTGGAATGAAACTTGGTCTGTGTGTTGCTTTAGAAATTGGAAGTTAGTTCATTTTCTGTTGCAATTGTTCTTGAAACAGAAGAGCTGTCCTGGTTTGCACGTATGGTCTACTGTCTAACGGAAGACTGGAAAGTCACCACACATAGGAACTAAATTTAACTCTTTGTTATAGACTCCACCAAGTCATTCCCAGACATTTCATTCTACTACAGTACATTCACTACACCTGTGTATGCATATGTGGAAAATACTTTAAATATCTATATAATGGAATAAAATATGCCCTTCAGCAATAGAATAAGAGATTCTTCATGTGTATAAAAGTACTATACTATATGCTTCCATGCTTTCCTATTGGTTCTTATTGTCTATGAAAATAGGCAATATTTGCTCTCTGTTTAAATCTCATTGTCACTATTTATCATTTCTAAATGTTCATTTTCTCCCTTACAAGTTACCAAAGAATCTAAAATATGTAAGGATTATGAGAAACATTATGTCGAAGATCATAACTGGGAGTTCCATTTTGTGGATATTGTGTCAGTGCATCTCTACTGGGACATTGGGTTCCATCCTTCTATGCTTGCGCAGGATCATGAATGGACTCTGTGTGAATGCTGTTGGGGTCCTGCTCAGACGCTCTTTACCTTGCTGCTGCTCCAATCCTAACCCTATGTGTTAGGAATATGGGTTGCCAGGTGCACAGCCATTCCCTTCTTCAGAGATTTGCCCTCAGCTGAGAGGGAGCCACTTTGCCAGGAGGTCTCAGGAACACACTTGGGGCAGCTCACAGCCAGGGACAGACTCATGGGAGAGACAAAAGGCTACCAATGTCAAAGCAGGACTAAGTCTGATGCAATGCATGCTCCAGAGCTGTGCTGTCCAATACTGGAGTACATAATCATAGGAATTCATTTAAATTTAAATTAATAATATTAAATAAAATACAAAATTCAGTTTCTCAGCTAAGCTATTTTAAGTGCTCAGGTAGTGACATGTGGATAGTGGCTATTGGATTAGACAGCGAGGGCTGAGTATTTCTACCAGCACAGATGCATACTTGTATGGGAGTGTTGTGTCCAGCTTCTTACAGGATCAGGCTCATGCCATCTTCCACCTGAGACCACATCCTTGCTTAGCAGCATTCTCTGCTCTGTTTTGCTTCCCTCATCCCCTTTATCCTGAGAGCACTCCCTGAACAAACCACGTGCAGTGGACATCCTACTTGATCCTCTTCTCCCATGGAACCTGGTGGAAAGCACTGTCCATGTTCATGCAACCTGTCATTTCCAGTGTTGTGAAAGCTGCCTTCCCCCTCACTAGCTCATTCCGCATTGACCTTGGGGGACTTTCTAGTATATTGGGGTCAGCTCAGACCTAGAGGACAGAAGCTTTATTAAAGTAATAGTGATTCATTCCTACCACTGTCAACACTACTTCAGGATTCATTCAGGAACTGGATAGGGCAGTGTTTGTATGTCAGTTATGTCAGTGACTGTTATATATTTGAAATATCTTCAATACAGACATTTTCACAAGATTTTTGATATTTAAAATGTGTATTTTGCTTACTGAGTATGTGATTTTCAAGAAATATGGACTCTTCCACTTGAAGTTTTAGACTTATGTGTCAGCGTTGAACAGGCGGTAACAGCTCTATCAGCTTTCATGTGCTGGTACGAAACATTCCACCTCTTCCATTTAATGCCCATTCTCATAATTATTATTGTAGAATTGTATTTTTTGAGATTGTTTTTAGATGGTGATTATTACATAAAATGCCATTGTTTCTGTTTTGTAGAATCTATCTATCTATCTATCTATTAAAGATTTTATTTATTTATTTGACAGGTAGATCACAAGTAGGCAGAGAGGCAGGCAAGCAGGCTCCCTGCTGAGCAGAGAGCCCGACGCGGGGCTTGATCCCAGAACCCTGGGATCATGATCTGAGTCGAAGGCAGATGCTTTAACCCACTGAGCCACCCAGGCACCCCTAGAATCTATATATTTTTATTTCACCTAATAACTCTTCTTTCTCAATGTATAACCTGTGCTTTTCTCAAGGATGTATGGTTTTGTATGCAAGATAATAATTTATGTGTGGATTTGTAGCTGGAGTTGCCTCTACCGTATCACCTCATGATAATTGCTAGAGACGGCGCTCCGTGCTCCTTACATAGGACGGGTGTGCTTACTGTTCCAGCCAGGATTATTTACATAGTTTGTCCAAGAGGAATGAATGTCTCTTACTGCATTCAGGCATTTGATACCTACCTCCACAGAGATGATGGTTTTTAGTCTACTCACACAGGTCTTTAACGTGGTAAGAAGTAGAGGAAATGAAGTTTTTCAGTTAACCTGAGGCTACATGTATCCTTTCTCTGGGAAGATGTGTTCTGTGGTGGTGCACAGAGATTGGAGAGGGATGGATGCTGAGCGGGGGAGGTGGAAGGGAGGAAAGTGAGCTAGATCAGCAGGGCAAGCTGTTGAGATCCGAAGAATGCGTTATGCAGCTGCTCTTTCTCATGTCCAGTGCAGCTCAAGGGGAATAGTTTTCCTAGACGTAATGTGGGAAAAAAAAGAAAAGAAGATTATGGACTATGACAAGAGTAGTCCTGTTCCCTCCCAGGGTTCTCTCCAGGAAGGCACTGGAAGCAATTGTAACCTCCACAGACAATCCCATTCTTTTTGTCTCTTTTAGTGGGCATCTCCTTTGCTGGATACTTTATTTTTCAACCTAAAATCGTATTCATTTTTGTACCCATCAGTTAGAAGCCATTCAGCATTCTTTAGATATACGTGTACACACATACACATACATCTATAATCTGGAAAAGAAGGAAACCATTTGTACAAGTTCAGAGTTTTGTCTTCTCTCTCCTTCCTTCTTAGTCCTTATTGATAGGATAACATTAAAATATATCACTATGTATTGTGATGGTACAATATGATATTGGTGTTTTCCTTGGATGAGTTAACATTTCCCTTTTGTCCTCCTTACTTTGGTGAGTAATGCCTCCATTAGACACCTTGAAAACGCCAGCAATTTCTTTCGGATAATTTATCTGTATTGGTGTGTGTGGGCATGAAACTGAACTATGTGTTTATTTTTTAATTTGCTCTTCTGAGCAGATGTGAGTCTGGGCACATTCCTTGTTGTTGCACGTTTACACTGTCTCAGATACCTTTATAACTAATTCCATTAAGAAAGTGTTTGTGGATAGATTTATTTATTTTTTTTTGGTGGATACAACTGAATGCAAATCTACAGGAAATCCAAGGAAGTATAAAATAATGTGAAATACTGTATCCTCTCTTCTGAGTCCATAAAACTTATTTTATGCTAGTTTTGTACCAATTTCTTTCACACACTAGTGGGTCTGCCCTGAAACGTGAATCAGATTTTTAGTCTTAGAAGAACAAGAAATGAACTGTATGCCTACGCATTTGAACATGAAAGAACTGAAACACTCATTTTCTGAGCCTCTTTCATTGGTTTATAGCTGCTTCTTCAGTACTAAGCAGCTGGAAGTATAGGGTCATCAGACTCACCCGAGCGCTGGTAACGTGTCTGATTCAGCATCATTAACTCTGCAAGACAGCTTTGAGAAGGTACTAACCTAATGTTGATGGGTATCTGAGTATTAGATAGTACCAGAATGTCCTTTTCTATCATTTTTTTGTGTAGTACTCAAAGTCTTCCATTATAGGTATTCACCTGTCATTGCTTTGAGAATAAATCTGTCTTTATCTCTATATATTTATCTAGTTGATTACTTCATCATAGAAGTGGTGTAAAGCATTGCACTTTGTATGTAGATTATACAGTTGGGTAACTTTTTAAAATATTTATTCTGATTAGAATGTGAATGGTGAATAGTACAACCTTTTTCAGGAATTTCATGTGCTCTGGTTGGCAATGTGTGAAACAAGTGTGCAGAAGGAAGAGGAAAGTTGTGGCCACTGAATTTTAGGGTTCTGATTCCATCTGACTATGCACGACCAAGGTATTTTCAGAGTTCCTGAAAACTGATACAGTAATTTTAAGCATCTTTAGGCAAAGCTAAATACTGTATTTATTTATTTTATTTTATTTATTTATTTTTATTTCTTTTCAGCGTAACAGAATTCATTGTTTTTGCACTACACCCAGTGCTCCATGCAATGCGTGCCCTCCATAATACCCACCACCTGGCTCCCCCAACCTCCCACCCCCCGCCCCTTCAAAACCCTCACGTTGTTTTTCAGTGTCCATAGTCTCTCATGGTTCGTCTCCCCCTCCAATTTCCCTCAACTCCCTTCTCCTCTCCATCTCCCCATGTCCTCCGTGTTATTTGTTACGCTCTGCAAATAAGTGAAACCATATGATAATTGACTCTCTCTGCTTGACTTATTTCACTCAGCATAATCTCAATGTGGTTTTAATTTGAATCTCCCTGATGGCTAGTGAAGATGAACATTTTTTCATGTGTCTGATAGCCATTTGTATGTCTTCATTGGAGAAGTGTCTGTTCATATCTTCTGCCCGTTTTTTGATATGATTGTCTTTTTTGTGTGTGTTGAGTTTGAGGAGTTCTTTATAGATCCTGGATATCAACCTTTTGTCTGTACTGTCATTTGCAAATATCTTCTCCCATTCCGTGGGTTGCCTCTTTGTTTTCTTGACTGTTTCCTTTGCTGTGCAGAAGCTTTTGATCTTGATGAAGTCCCAAAAGTTCATTTTCGCTTTTGTTTCCTTTGCCTTTGGAGACATATCTTGAAAGAATTTGCTGTGGCTGATATCGAAGAGGTT